TTTGGATCCTTCCTTGGGCGTGAACACCTCCATTGGGAGATACTACTTCTCCATATCAGGTATAATTCTCTCCTACTCCTTTTGGTTCAGATCTGGTTCAGTTTAAGGTTCAAGAATGATCTTTGAAAATATGATTTTCTAAATAGGGAATACGATTCCCAGTTGAAGGGAGAGAAATTTTTTTTTGGAATTCGCCCCTTATTCCGCAATCTTTGGGCGTCCATGGGATGGATCTCTCTTCCCTTCACGGCTATCCAAGAGATTGACCTCTTCCTTGTCATGTAGGCTATTTGTGCCGTCATGACCTGGTGAATTGCATGCATGGTCTTCGCAAGATGACTTAGGTGAAGGAGATAGAGAATGCATAGTTGAAGGCCAAGTTTGTCAAGGTGAAGAAGGCTATTGCAGATAAGGACAACGAATTTAAGAAGATGAAGAGCCGCTTGCAAGACGTGAAGGAGGCCAAGGACAAGCCAAAGAAGGCAGCGGAGGATGCCGAGGCGAGGCTGAATTGGGCAAGGGAGGAGGTGGTCACGGAGTATAAGGCATTCACAGAGTTCTAGACCGAGCTCGACAGCTATGCCACCAACTCTTGGCTGGCCGAGTTTGCCTGTTACAAGGGGAAGGTCATGCACCTGTTTCTCGAAGTTGCATCCGCGATTGAGAAGTTAGGCCCTTGGATCCATGAGGAGACAATAGATCTTTGTCGTATATAGTTTTTTCAGTTAAAGAAAGAAAAAAAGAAAAAAATGGAAAAGTACGGACAGGTCCAATGCAGATTTCTAAATTCTATTGCAAACCCATAAACATTCAAAATGTCAAACCCCCATTCTATACACCAATGCCCGCCCATGAATTGGCATCAATTCCAAGCTGGCACCTACCTCAACTGTACTTTGGGCCTAAAAATTCTGACCCCAGGCTGAATCGTTATTCTCCCAAAAAATATATCTACTTAGTCAATATTGGAAAGATAATGTAATAAACTAAAAATTATGAGTTTAGAGTCTTTGGATAGTCATTTTTAACTGAACCATTTAGAAAAGTTAGCTTGCAAATTAAAAGAGAAAGGTAAAGGGTAATAGTAGGATGTGTAATTAATGCATAGTGCAATATTAATTGGACCATAAAAATAATTAGGGAAAATTCCTGATTAGTACCCTGTACTTTGGGCCTATTGTCACTTTGGTCCCTTAACTTTAAATTGAGACAATTCAGTACCCAAACTTTCAAAATGTGCCAATTCAATATTTGCCTTTAACCAGTCTGTTTACCAGCCATTAAGTGGCATTTGAAAAGACACAAATGTCCTTTGAGTGTCATCGAATTCTCTTTATCAACCATCCAAACATTGATAAAAGATGAATAGTCCCAAATCCTTGACTCTTCTTGAATATCCACCCAAACAGACATGACCTCAACTTTCTTGAATAAAAGAGGCAAGAATTTGAGACTATTCATCTTTTATCAATGTTTGGATGTTTGATAAATAGAATTAGATGACACTCAAAGGGCATTTGTATCTTTTCAAATGCCACTTATTGGCTAGTAAACGAACTGTTTAACAATAAATTCTGAATTGAAACATTTTGAAAATTCGGTATCCAAATTTTCACATTTTAAATTTCGAGGACCAAAGTGACATTAAGCCCAAAGTACAAAGTACTAATCGGAAAGTTTCCCAATAATTAATGAACCCAACTGTCCTCGTCTCTTATCTTCTAAGAAGACTTTGTCATTGTTGGCATCATAAATGAATGAAACTTTACGAGTGAAAATGTTAGTTAACCATCATTAATTATAACAGAAGAATCTATTCCAAACTCCAAGCTCTTACAAAAAGACTAGCTCTTCCAGATCTCCGATTGTGCTTGGTATTCGTCCAGAGAAACTACACCCAACCAGGATCCTGATATATAGAAAAGGAAAGTAAATTAAGTTGAACGATTCCAATAAAACCAGTTGGTCAACAGAAGCTATATATCGCTTTGCAAATCATCAGGATTTCCTTACAGGTTTGAAAGCTTTTTCAAGCTCCCAATTGCTTCGGCCGGCAGGGGACCATTCAAACCCCGGTTGTAAGACAGATCCCTACATGAATCAACTACGTACTAATCAGAAAATTAAAGTGATTTATAGAGAGAGAGAGATGTTTCTTATTTCAGAATATGTCTGAAAGTTGATATAAGAGGGAGATTAATTAAGAAAGTCTTACAATGTCTGTAACTCAGTTAGAGCACCGATGTCTCCAGACAATTGACCCTCGAGTCCCATGCTTGACAATTTTCTAAAATATTGATGAAATTGGTCGTAAGTGAGAAGAATGATAGAAGTAGGAAACATAAGAAACTAGTTATTAAACTCTATATATAAAACAACTCTAGCTACTAAAAACTTACATGGATATCACCTGTGAGTTGTTGCAAGTAACTCCTACCCAACCACCAACGCAAGGGTCTGAATTTTCCCAATTGGAAGGTCTGTTTTTCCACATTGACTTGAATGAATTTAGAGCAGCAGCTGTGATGGGGCCCCGTGGGCGACAGTTCATCGGAAGCACATTCATGATAAATCAAGAATCCAAGATAATTCAAGAATTCAAGATAAATTAAGAATTTCAGATTCCAGATAAGCCCAAGATTCAAGGAAGTTCAAGATCTAAGGTAATTCGAAGGAGATAGACCCAGGGAAATCGGACGATGGAGACCAAGGCAACATCCAAGAAGAGTTCGATCCTAGCTAGAAGATTAGATGTTCAAGATCTATCACAATTTTTCTTTCCTAGTTACTTTAAAATTTCCAGATGTATTATAAATACTGTTAATTCCAAGCTAATAAACACATTCAGTTTTCGCCAACTTTTTTCTCTCCTCTAGAGATTCACGTCCGGCTTCGCTATGAAGTTTGTGTTCGCCCGGTGCTTGCATAGCCAGCCCGGTTTTCATTGCTTCCCCGCTGCGTCAGGCAGTCGCAACCAACCCCGTGACGGAGATCAGGGGTTACAAGCTGTTTGGAGAGCAATCGAAGAGCAACGCACAGCCACACGTAACATCGAGCAGCAGTTGGCAGAGATTGCTGGACAACTGCGAACCTTGTTACGGGAGGATGTTCCACGGAACCGGGAGAATCCGTATCCAATCGAAGGAGACAACCATGGCAGACAAATCGTCAATCCTATAGCCCGACACCCAGTTCTTGATGATGATAGTGACGACGAGTTAGAGTTAGTTGTTGCTCTATTATCCCCGGCGATGGCAGAAACGGTAGGAACTGGCGCAATCCAGGTAATTTCAATCCCCGTCGGAATAATGATGAGTTTAAACTCAAGGTAGATATTCCTACTTTTAGTGGGGATCTGGATATAGAGGGTCTTCTAGATTGGATCACAGAGGTCGACCGTTTCTTTGAATACATGGAGATCCCGGAAGAACGAAAGGTGAAATTGGTAGCCTTTCGACTGAAGGGAGGCGCATCTGTCTGGTGGGAACGGATGAGAGAGACCCAGATCAGAGAAGGAAGGGGTCCTATTTGAACCTGGAGGCGCATGAAATAGCTAATAAGAGGTAGATTTTTACCCCCAAATTATGAACAATATATGTTTGAATCATATCAACGATGTGCGCAGGGTTCAAGAAGTGTCAATGAATATACATCTGAATTTCTAAGATTGGCTGAAAGAAATCAGCTATCTGAAAGTGATAACCAGCAGGCAACCCGTTATCTGAGCGATTTGAGACCGGCTATCAGAGATAAAATTGGCGTCCAAATGGTTCTTAGTGTGCAGGAAGCAAGGAACCTAGCTTTAAAAGCTGAATTAATGTTCCAAGAAAAGACCCGTGGTGATAATTACCGCCGGTACAGTGGGAGCGACAACAGACTGGCAGCTGTTGACAGAAACAAATCAGCCCCAGGAGTACAACCTTCTCACCTGGCGACTACAGCTAACGCTGGTAAGGCCATTACAGGAGGAAATACTCGAGATAACCCTTCCAACCCTCCTAAACCCATTAATCCCTATGCAAAACCTGCTCCTTTTAAATGCTTTAAGTGCAATGAAGTTGGGCATAGGTCCAGTGACTGTCCCAAAAGGAAGGCAGTTAATATGATAGAGAGGGAGGAGGAAGAAGATGTTGAAGAGGAAGTATATTGTGGACCTGATGGGGAAGATGAAGAAGGTTTGTACGAACATGAGGAATATACATGTGTTGTGAGAAAATTAATGCTGTCCCAAAGAAACAAAGATTCCCCTCAACGACACTGACTGTTCCACACTAGATGTACTGTAAAGGGTAAATTATTTGATTTAATTATTGATAGTGGCAGTCAAGAAAATATTATTTGCAGGGATGTCGTACAAAGATTACAACTACTCCTTGAAAAACATCCAAACCCATACACAATTGGGTGGATCAAAGAGGGCGGCGGCGTACGGGTGGAGGAATGTTGCAAGGTCCCATTCTCCATTGGTAAGTACAATGATGAGGTGTATTGTGATATTGTAGACATGGATGCTTGCCATATTTTTTTTAGGGAGGCCTTGGTAGTTTGATACGGATGCAAGACACATGGGTAGGAAGAATACCTACCAACTTGAAAAAGAGGGTACGCGCTACACTTCATTACCCATGGCTGAAAAGAATTCCCCAAAGGCCCCAAAAACATATGAGAAAAGTTTCCTTACTATTACACATCACCATGCTGAATTTGTAAAAGAATGTAAGGATACCCGCGAGGTACACTTGTTGGTAGTAAAGGGAGAAAGTATGAATGAGACACTGGGGGAAAATAAAATTCCAGTGGAAGTGCAGGGACTACTTGATGAGTTTCATGATGTAGTTCCAGATGAGTTACCAAATTTACTCCCACCCATGCGAGATATTCAGCATCGCATTGATTTTGTTCCTGGTGCTAGTCACCCTAACCTCCCACATTATAGGATGAGTCCTAAAGAAAATGAAATTTTACGGGAGAAGGTAGAAGAATTGTTGAAAAAGGGACATATTCAAGTCAGTATGAGAGCCCTTGTGCAGTACCAGCATTGTTAACACCAAAGAAGGATGGAAGTTGGATGATGTGTGTCGACAGCAGGGCTATTAATAAAATTACTATTGGCTACAAATTCCCCATTCCCAGGCTGGATGACATGCTAGATCAGCTTGATGGACCCATAGTATTCTCTAAAATTGATCTCAGGAGTGAATACCATCAGATCAGAATCCGTCCCGGAGACGAATGGAAGATAACCTTCAAGACTAGAGATGGACTGTTCGAATGGTTAGTCATGCCCTTTGGACTAACCAACGCACCCAACACCTTCATGAGGCTAATGAATCAGGTACTGCGTCCCTTTACTAGTAAATTTGTTGTGATATATTTTGATGATATTTTAATTTACAGCAAATCTATCACTGAACACATTGGACATATCAGGGAGGTATTAAAAGCATTAAGGGAAAGCAAATTATATGCTAATTTAAAGAAATGCACTTTCATGAGCGAAAATTTGTTGTTCCTAGGGTTCATTGTAAGTAAGGATGGAATTAAAGTAGATGAAGAGAAAGGTGAAAGCCATTAGGGAGTGGTCGACCCCATCAAATGTCACGGATGTAAGACACTTCCATGGGCTAGCAACTTTCTACAGGCGATTTATTAAACACTTTAGCAGTATTGTAGCTCCCATCACTGAATGTTTGAAAAAGAGAAAATTTCAATGGGGAGAAGAACAAGAGCAGAGTTTTGCTCTCATTAAAGAAAAATTATGCACTGCTCCTGTCCTTGCCTTACCAAATTTTGATAAATTATTTGAAGTTGAATGTGATGCCAGTGGAGTTGGCATAGGGGCTGTATTGTCCCAAGAAAAGAGACCCATTGCCTTCTTTAGTGAAAAGTTATGTGAATCCAGGAGAAAGTGGCCCACTTATGACAAATAATTCTATGCTGTGGTTAGAGCATTGAAAACATGGGAACATTATTTAATTGCAAAAGAGTTTGTTCTTTACACTGACCACCAAGCCCTAAAGTATCTTAGTAAGCAAAAACAATTAAGGAGTGATCTGCATGCAAGATGGTCTGCTTTCCTTGATAAATTCCCATACAAAATTGTGTGTATAAGGCGGGACAACAAAATACAGTGGCCGATGCTCTTAGCAGACATGTAGCCCTCATCAAGACCCTTAGTATTGAGATTGTGGGTTTTGAGTGCTTAAAAGACCTATACGCCCAGGATGAGGACTTCCAACAGGTATGGGGAAAATGTATGAATCGACAGCCAACAGATGATTTTTACATTCATGATGGTTTCCTTATGAAAGGGGAACAGTTGTGCATCCCGTGCACCTCCCTCCGCAAAAAGATCATCAGGGATTTGCATGGGGGTTGATTAGCAGGACACCTTGGAAGGGACAAGACCATTGAAGCAGTCAAGGGGCGTTACTATTGGCCAAAATTAAGAAGGATGTGTCTATTATTGTGAGTAGATGCTATATTTGTCAGACAGCTAAGGGAAAAACCCAGAACACTGGCCTCTACATGCCTCTGCCTGTTCCTATTTCAATTTGGGAAGACTTGTCCATGGATTTCGTAATAGGCTTGCCAAAAACCCCAAGAAATATGGACTCCGTCTTCATAGTGGTTGACTGATTCTCTAAGATGGCTCACTTCCTCCCATGCAAGAAGACAACAGATGCATCAGCGACAGCCAAGTTATTTTTCAGGGAGATTGTCCGTTTACATGGGGTACCTTAAGGCCATCACATCAGATCGAGATACGAGGTTCTTAAGTCACTTTTGGATGACTCTGTGGAGGCTATTTGACTCATCATTAATTTTAGCAATACAGCCCATCCGCAGACAAACGGACAAACAGAAGTGGTGAATCGGACCCTTGGTAATTTGATTCGCAGTATCTGTCGGGAGAGACCGAAGTAGTGGGATTTCACCATTGCATAGGCCGAGTTCACATACAATAATGCAGTCCATAGCTCTACAGGTAAATCTCCGTTCTCCATTGTCTACATGAAGGTTCCTAATCATGCACTCGACCTAGTGAAGCTACCCAGAGTCCCCAGTGTCAGTACCTCTACAGAACAAATGGCAGACCAAATCCAGTCCGTCCAAGACGCCGTAAAGTAGAAACTGGAGCAAACAAATGCAAAGTACAAGATGGTGGCAGACAAGCATCGTCGGCACCAGGTGTTTGACGTCGGTGATGAATTTATGGTGTTCCTGAGGAAGGAAAGGATTACCGTGGGAAAGTACAACAAGTTGCAGCCTCAGAAGTACAGTCCATACAAGATCATGAAGAAAATCAACGACAATGCTTATGTCGTGGACCTATCAGATTATATGGGTATCTCTAAGACATTTAATGTTGCTGACCTTCATCGCTACCTACCAGAGATGACACTTGCATATCCTAGTCACGACTCGGGGTCGAGTTCTTTCCAAGTGGGGGAGAATGATGGTGGTCCATCTCATCATATGGGCGACAGTTCATAGGAAGTACATTCAAGATAAATCAAGAATCCAAGATAATTCAAGAATTCAAGATAAATCAAGAATTCCATATTCAAGATAAGCCCAAGATTCAAGGAAGTTCAAGATCCAAGGTAATTCCAAGGAGATAGACCCAGGGAGATCAAACGATGGAGATCAAGGCAACATACAAGAAGAGTTCGACCCTAGCTAGAAGATTAGATGTTCAAGATCTATCACAATTTTTCTTTCCTAGTTACTTTACAATTTCCAGATGTATTATAAATACTGTTAATTCCAAGCTAATAAACACATTCAGCTTTCGCCAACTTTTCTCTCTCATCTAGAGATTCATGTCCGGCTTCTCTACGAAGCTTGTGTTCGCCTGGTGCTTGCATAGCCAGCCCGGTTTTCATTGCTTCCCCGCTGCGTCAAGCTGCATGAATGCAGAAAAGCTGTGATCCATTCTCAACTCTGAAGGAATATATATAATGAATTGAATGTATGGATGTTCATCAAATTTGCCCAATAATAATAGGTCAGAGGGTGATGAAACTATGACTGTTTTGATCAAACTACAGATTTCCATCTGTTCTGATTTTGCCAGATGGCTAGCTAATCTATATCATTGTCCATTCATAATGAAATCGATCAGGAAAATGAACACATACCATCGTTAGGGTCTGTTGGTGCCTGCTGTGCAGCTGCAGACGAAATTTGAATGAGCACAACCAGCAGCAGACAGGCTTTAAATTTGATCCTTATTTCATCCATTGGTGACGACTGATCGACGACAAGTTGTGATGCAACTCTCCGGTGACAAAATTTCTCTGTAACAGAACATTCATTTAGAAGAGTTGAAGTTGGTATATATTAATTAAGCGGCCCTGGAGATAATTGGCCACAAGGAGTCAACTCTGAAGTCTTGTTTAGCAATTTTGATTTGAACCAAGAAAAATATCTGCAAGTAGAAGAGTTGAAGTTGGTTGACAATCTCATAACATCTCTATGACCTGATTCGGTTCTTTCTGTCATTGATTAATGCAGTCCCACTTATAATTAACTCCCCTCTTCAAGAGAATTAATACGTGTTCAAATACATGCACCCATTCTCAATCTCTTTTAAGACATTTTAATTTCACTGTTCACATTGTCAGATTTTTTTTTCTTTTTCTTTTTTCACTCCGTTTGATTAGGTCTTGTGAATAATAACTTATAAGTATGGGAGATGTTCCCAATGCATGATAGGATTTGCATGTGAAGTCGGTATGTGGAGCCTTGTGTGAAGAGAAGATCCGGTCTCTTACCTTCAACCTATAGCATTTGGATAGTTCGGATTGGGACTGGATCTACTCCTCACAACATTTCCTCTACTTATGTATTATTATTTATGGGAAATGTTCCCAATGCACAGTGAGATGTACCTGTGAGGAGTAGAAGCTCTGATGAATGACAGATGGGAATATGTCCCACATGTTTATGCAATTATGCCATATTTTTTCAATATATATCTTGTAAAGGATATACAAGGGTAGCCTATTCATGAACTTACGTGCAGGCGGAATTCGATTCCAAGTCTCCATTACGATGGCAAAAGACTTATCAACCAGCTGATTGGCACCTTGCATACAATTATATCATGTAGCAAGGTTGGAAAAGGATGGTTTTTTCCTGAACAAAACCCATAGAGAGATGCTAAAAAGTTGAAATTTAATGGTGTAGGTGAGATAATTAAAGACTTACATCATGGACCTCAAATAATTGAGAGCAACACTCCATCTATATTGCGTGTTTTGTCTCTTCATATAAAATAAAATTTCTTCCAGATAGGCGTACTATCTATCTAATTAAAGGAAATGCTGGATGTAGATGAAGATTGCGATGAATGCCAATATGGGATTGCAATAAATTTTCGAATAACCTATAATATTGCTCTTAATTATCTATCTATCTATCTATAAATAATACGATCGGACAAAAACTGGAATGCTCCGTAAGATCATGATTTTTTTGGTTAACTAAACGATTTGGTCCATTCAATTCACAAAAACTGTCATTTAACCCGGACCAGAAAGTAAGGATGTTAATTAGACTGGATTTGGTTCAATCCGATCCTGTCCAATGTGAGTCCATTACAAATGGATCAACCAGGTCCAATGTAATCTAATAAATATTTTCAACCATTTTGGATTGGTCCAGTTCATTGTCTGGACCATCCAACCTGTTCAAATTTGTTTTAATTTAGATTGGTTTCTTTTCAACCTAATCCCAGCCCATTGACACCTATATTCTAATCTTATATTAATGGACCAGATATTGGCTTATCCAATTCCAACCCAATCCAACAACATAAATTGGATTTGGAAACAGTTGGATACTTCTTGAATGACCAAGAGACTAAGACCCTGTTTGGCATGTTTTTTCACGCAGACTGTCGACTTTTTAAAAGCCTGGCAACCCGCATTTTGGTCTTTTCCTGCTGTTAGGTTGAGAAAAAATCTAATCGCCGAAAGTCACATCCCTGAAAAGACGGAGGAAGACTATTTCGGGATATATTCAGAAAGCTCTAAGTGGAGCTTTTTGCCTTTTTTTCAAATTATCTTCACACAGAAAGGTGCGCCTTAACCAAACAGTCCTCGGGCTGTTAAGATCTTGATGCAAAAGCTCACATCGTCTTTTGACTGTCAGAGCTTCCAAAAGATCTTTCGAAAAAGGCTTGCCAAATGGCCCCTAAGTCCAGGCTAAAGTAGATGCAATTGCTTCCATGAGAGCATCTATCATTAGGGCAACTGACCCAAATGGAGTCAAAGTGCTTACCAACCAGCTGGTTGGAACCTTGCAGAGGGATTAGATTAAGCCAAGAGACAGTGGGGTCAATTACTTAGCCCAATGTTCAAGTACATTAGCAAGTATAAGTAGGGACTTAAGCCCCTAAAGTGTGAGAAACTCCAATCTTGGTTGTATCTTGAGAACATATACAGGGGAAAGTCGTGAGATTGCTTTGTTTGGTACCTACTAACATCTTATTGTAGGTCATCAAGTTTCCTTAATTTTCATTGCAGACATGAAAAATCATTTTTTTTTCTTTTGTAATTGTACTCATACCTTATTAATTAATATAAGTACATATTGTTCTCTGGTTGACATTAACCAGTACTGAACAACCCTAACCATTTTCATTCATCTTAAATAGTTAATCATTCTTTGTTTATTTTTAAGTAGGTGGATGCATAATCAACCTCTTTAACTACTTCATAGTAAACCATTCAGTTTAAGATTGGATAATTGTTCCAACCTATTTCTAACAAGATGCTAATATGCATTGTAGTTCATTTATTACCATTTTTATCTACTTTGTTTCCTATTCCAATAGTTCCAATACACTTCTAATCCTTATTTATACAACATCTTTGATACAGTATTCAGATCTTTTAGCCAGATAAGCACTAGCTCTTTGCTTCATTGAGATTCCACCTTGTGATGATGTATATTCCAACTGCTGTACTCAATGGTTTCAGTACTAAAAGGATTCCCAGAATGCTCTCCATTAGTTTCCCCATAACTTTCTGAAGTTGATGCAAAATCATCAGTTGTATTTAGACCAGAAAACTTCATAATGCCCTCAATCTCTTTGACTACTTCGCTCATCAATGGACGATCAGCTGTTGATTCTTGTAAACATCTCATTGCCAGATCCACAAATTCCTCAAATCCTTTGAGGCTGGTGCTTATTGAACCAAGGACCGGGTCAAGAAGCTCATGAAGGCCATATAGGTCTTTGGTCTTGTCCATTATTGCTTTCACCTCTCTCACTATATATTTCCCATGCTCTATTGGTTTCCTCGCAGTAATCAGCTCTAGCATTATCACTCCAAAGCTATACACATCACTCTTCTCTGTCAACTGCTGGGTCATGTAGTATTCAGGATCCAAATAGCCCTGCACCAAACTAACATGCTTAAAATATCTGACTAAAACAATGCCCAATACTTTCTGTGAAAAATATATTTAGTATTCAGTAAATACCACAGACTTAGGTTGTAAAATTGCACCCTGAGATCGAGTTCATCTTCAATCAGTGCAAGCCCGTGCTGACAATGTTTGAACAGCATTTGCAACCTTGTATTGGGAAGATCTCCCCATGAAATAAAAGCACATAAGTATGGAGATATTCCCAATGCAAGGCTGTAAAACCTGTTCGAGCAGGCGTTGCACTGACTGAAGCCGAACTTGCACCCTTAGAGCATGCATTATACATATATATTACAACATCACAAAACAAATTTGATGTATCTATACCATAGAATTTGAGTATTGTCTTTTGCATGATATATAGCAGGATAGTGGGTTGATTAATTACTCACCATTGTCCCCTTTACTTGAGTAGAGACATGGCCCTTTTCATCGTCATCCATGAGCTTGGACAGACCAAAATCAGAAACTTTGGCATTTAAGTGATTGTCCAAGAGAATGTTGGTTGACTTAATATCTCTATGTATTATGGGTGGGTTGACATGCTCATGTAGATAAGCCACCCCTCTGGCTGAACCCACGGCTACTCTAAGTCTCCTTGTCCAATCCAACTTGATTCCTGACCTTCCTGCACAAGTCATTTATATAATGAATAAATTTTCATAACTTATATATAAAGGGAATACACAGGTATTAATTTATTGGGACAAATCTGCAAATCCTATACAGAAAAATCATCTCAATGACAGATCTCCTGCTACCATCTATTCAACATGAGGAGAAATTCAGCCCTTAGTAACATATCTAAAACTAAGCTGTTTTCTATGGGCAATTTTTGAAGGCAAAACCTACTACACAGACTAGTCTGGGGAAAGCTCCAAAACAAGTTGGTGATGAGCAGATTCTGATATATATGGAGTAGGGGAGTGAGTCTGTGGTTCTTTAATTTTGGGTGTCCATTCTGCGAGAGGAATTCATTTGAAAAGCAACAAGGGTACTACTATATATATAGAACATATGATCAGATCAAGTACCTGAAAGGCTTTCCTTTAGAGTACCATTTGCAATATATTCATAGACCAACATTTGTTCATCTTTTTCAAAGCAATATCCAACAAGGCTAACAAGGTTCTTATGATGAACCCGAGATAGCATCTCGACCTCTGTTTTGAACTGAATGCCACCTCGTTGTTGAGCTCTTTTGATGGCAACCAATTGGCCAGTGGAGAGTGTTCCTCTGTAGACCTGTGCATAAATTTGTCATCAGCATCAACAGAACATAGAAGATAATTGAACCATGCATATATATGAATACTTACTGAAAATCAATTAAAACAAGCTCTCTCTCTCTCTCTCTCTCTCTCTCTTTCTCTCTCTTTTATACTACTTATAAAAGAGCAAATGCCCCTTCTTTCTGGAATTTTCACTGGACGTTTTCTCCCCCCTTTATGTAAGCATACAGTGGGCATAAAGAGGACATATATGTCCTTTTCTCTTACTTCAGAAACTGCCCACTTGTAACCATATAAGAAAAGGTCTACTAAAGAGTCTTTATGACGAGAGTATCGTGGGGATCAAAAAGAGAAATAACACATACAGCCCCCACACTTTATCATCAGTAGATAGATAAGGCTTAAATAAACACAGAAACTGCATGAAAGTATGAAACAAAACAAATCTAACTTCATCAAAGGCACTGCCACGTGCAAATGCACATACACGTTTACTAGTATATATATAGAACCATGGTTTTTACCTTCCCATAACCCCCGGATCCAATTGCATTGACTTCTGAGAAATTGTTGGTGCATTTCTTCAGCTCATCGAATGAGAACCATCGCGCTACGTTTAGTTTAGGAATGTTGTTGCTACAACTGTTGAGGTCCCAAAAAGCTGCATTGATTGATATAAGATCACAGCATGCTTATAATGCCTATGAATTGAAGGAAAGAAAGAACAGCTAGAAATAGACTGCACAGTGTTTAATTAATTATAACGCAAAATATAAAAAGCTCTGTCAGTTAAGACCATTCAATAATGAGCTAGGGTCTTACAAAAAGCCTTGCTTTGCTCACTCATTCTATCAGCTCTTCTCCTTTGATGCAAGACATAATATCCTGCACATAGTAGTAGTGCTAGTACAGCTACAACTCCACTAACTGTCACTCCAATTATCACTCCTAGGCTCACTAACACCTTCGAACTTGAGGACATCTCTGAATCCATGACAAATTTGGTACAAGATTCATTAGAGAGAGCAAATTATTCTACTTCATTACACACCAGACTCTTCTTATATATAGTAACAGAAGCTTAATTTTGATTACCTGAAAAAGTCCCATACTGTGAACCGATGAGGAAGTATGACTGTATGAGCCCTAAGGCCTGGAAGTTGAGAACATACACCAAGTCCGAAATCCCTGATCGATTGAAACGGTCTGTTCCAGAAGGAAACACTTCGAGATCCAAGGTAAGGTAACCGTTTGAAATTCTAGGCTTACTTAGAGTAATTGAATCAACTGGAAGGTGAAAATCCTTCTGAAATGAATTCCTGAGTGCATTTTCCATATCCTCCAAGTTAACATTGTCATAGTTTGAAGCCGCTCTGAGATATATGGTGCTGATGTACGGGTATGAACAATTACAGTTAGGGCTGATCTTTTGATCTGAAGGACAGTGGTTCTCACATGTTGCTGTGTTTGTGGAATGTGGGGTGTATTCCTCTTCTGGGGGGTTGCAGTATTCTTTGCAAATGCTTCCTAATTCGTAGCAACATGGATTACCCTCTAGACTGTAATCCAGTGAAAAAAAAAACGATTCCAGTTTTGAGAAACTAATGATAAAGCTGAGATAATATAACAGTAAATTGACAATTGATTAATTGTAGGTAATAAAGTAAAGAAACTTACAATAAGCGATAATTAAGTTTTGCTCCCTCCACAAGAGAAGAAATGCTGTTATTCCTCAAGTCAACGAGTTTCAGATTCTTACTTGGCACAATTTTGCTTAGATCTAAGGTACCATTGATATTATTGTTCTTCAAATACCTACCATTCACCACATTTTAGTACCATTAGACGAGTTTGACATTTTGGGGGTGTTCTTTTTTCGGATTTTGAGAAGGGGAAAGTTGGTCAATGGGATTTTGGTTCTCATTGATCAAGAATCCTATGTTCTTTTTTTAAATTTATGTAGGGAACAGGAAAAAATTATTTTCTTGGATATCACTATCCATCTCCTAGGTGGGTCAGGCAGGAGCTTCCCCTACAAAACTTGATTTATGTTTGCCATGTAAAGAGTTGATGTGGCCAATCTAAGCCATCCATGAGGAGCTTTGGATTAATCGGCATCACCATCATCATCATCCAAATGATCCACTTCTTTTGTGTTTGGACAAGTAATATCAACAGTAAGTAATATCAAGTATCCCTCTCATAGTCTAACATCATTGTAAATTTACTACTAAATAATATTATTAGAGTATATGTATCTGTCATTTGGTGTGTTTCTATGCTTTGGCCCTCATCTACATTTTAAGATTATGATAATGTACCTAAGACTTTAATGAACAGTATGCGATCTAAATGTTTACAGCTAGTGGATTAATCGGCAATTTATCTAATTAAGGTTGATACACCCAAACTGTCTTTTATGTGAACAGCTTGTCTCAATTGTTAGGGTAAAACCTAAATTATTAATGTGGGCATTTATGAAATGCTGAAGGGGACAACTTTCAATGCATTTTTAGACTTTATAATTGATGAAATGTTCCAGATTGTTGCTCTTCAAGTCTTTTGATTTGGTAATGGTATCGTGTCAAGCTTTTGGTCTCTCTACTTTTTGATATCCCAACTAGTGAGATCTTTTTGCGGTCAATACTTGGATATGTCGGAACAGTTAGTGATGAACTGTGACAAGTGACTATTATAATAGAATCTTGCACTGTATTAGCTAAAAGAGAAAACCCCTTATTTATGTTTTTTTCTTCTGGATATATACCTAAAATCTGTTCGTAGTAAAATTTCAAATTAGTTTGAGATTCATCATGGTAGAAAACATAATATATTGACATTGTACAAGTGGAAACAAGTCCTTCCCATAATCTTAGTGTTGAGTTTTAATGGTAGAAGAAATTTAAAGAAAATATTATATTAGGCTCAAAAATCCGATGAGCATAGTTCTTAGGTGTTTCAAGGATCCCACACCCTACACGTTTACTCTCATGACTATTCTTTTAGGCTGTGTTTGGTTTGGAGGAAAAAGTAGGAAAAGGAAAGGAAATGTACGGTAACCTTTATAAACCATGTATGGGTCTTCCTATTTTTTCCATCATTTCCCTACCTTTTCCTTCAAACCAAGCATAACTTTAAGGATTGTTAGAAATTAGCAAATTGGTTGCTAATTAAAAAATCTACTCAACAGTCAACTACTCAATCTACAACTACAAACCTAAAACAACTATCTCGATTTTTCTGTTTTTTTTTTTATATTTTTTATGAAGAAACCATGTCGATCTGATTAGCATAATAGTAATCATGTATCATTTCGCTGATACCTGTTGAATAAATGTATTTAAAGTGGGATAGGAGGCATTTAAGGAGATCGACTTCAGTGCTCACAATACCGTTAAAGTTGGGCATTGGGAATATCTCTATACTTGTATGTTTTTTTATGAGGAAATATTCCCAATGCAAGATTATAAGGGACTGTGCAAATGGTGTGAGCACTGAAGCCAATTTCATATTTAAGACTCAAATTAGAAAGAGTACAAATTCAAATATGTATAGTATAAATACATACAAAATAATATAAAACATAAGGTTTTGCATAGTATATATTTGCATTTATACTCCTTCCAAACTGAATTTATGGAATACGAATACAGATATATACGATACAAATACATATAAAATAACACAATAATAACTCCACATATTTCTATTTATACACCACCCAAATTGAGTCTAAGGGACAAGTGTCAGCAAAATAATAGCCCCAAATGATTACCCAAAAGCCAAACAGGAGGTTAATTGGTCCAACCATAAACCAACGGAAGACAGGTCATTAGTGGCCCAGCCCAACCCAGCCCAGCCCATGATAATCCCTACTTGCTCGACCATAACATTCCTCTACATAGCTAAATTAGAATTTAAAATATGACCCAGTCTAAACTCCAAAGGGCCCTCCAGAACATGAACGCTTGACCATAAGATTCCTCCGTGTGGAAAATTGGTTTGTGGCCCAAATCACATTTAATAATACACTGATGGAGGACGATTTGGCCCGACCCCGTAGCTCGAGGACACGTGTGCGTGACCTGGCTCGATGAACGACTTTGTTCGCCAGCGCAACCACAACTTGACGAGAGAGACTCGCCGAGCCCAGCGCTGGCCACTTGGCGAGTTAAGTGACTCACCGGGGACCAAACCTGGGTAACCCGGGTTCCCGCCTAGCACAAAGGGCCTGAGCTCCCCTCGAAAGGCCCTGAGCTTTCCTTTCCCAGGGAGAGAATGACCTGACACTTCGGCTAAGTACCCCAAGGGAGGGACAACCAGAGCAGCGCTGCCTCCAGTCCGGGCATCCCGACACTTCGGTGTCGGGATAATCCTGTCCCAAGCAGCTCGGTAAGCTGTGAGGAGGAGGACCGACCTCACACCCATGTTTGACAGACCCGATGGCAGGGCTCTGATCCCTTGCCAGGCGGCATTCCTCCCTGCCAGGCGGCATTCTCTTTGCCGTCTCTGAAAGGCTTGGCACGACTGACAGTTCTGTACTCGGCAATGGCAGCTTGCAACGGTTACTTGCGCCTGCCATTCTTGCCCCAGCAATAGTGTCTAGAGCAGTGGCAGTTGTGTCAGGTACGGCAAGATCCCAACATAAAAGGGTTCTAGCTCTTACGAGGAAGGGGTATCAAGGTTTGAGCACTTTCAACACTCTCATGTCCTGACTTTTCTCTCTAAGATCCACTCTAGTTCTGACTTAATCATCGGAGTGTTCCCACTGGGACAACCCCCCGGGAACCTCTCTCTTCTTTCTCCTCTCAGGTGCCGTTCGTCCCAGCCAGAAGCCAGCTTACAGTCAGTCGAGGAGTGCCTAGATCGTGCATCATCATTTGGCGCCGTCTGTGGGAAATGCTTCAAAAGGCCTCCCTTTAATCTCTACAAAAACCCCTTCCTTTTACCCACTGTTACCCATGGCTCCCTCTAGCAACTCCGAACGCTGGAACACCCCGGAGGAGCAACTCCAACTACGCACCATTCACGTCGGACAGTTCACCGTCCCCCTCATTGCGGACGGGATCCCCAGCCTGAACGTGCCCGCCGCGACGACACCCGTGACTGTCCTGCTGCCCTCTACGATCGAGACGACCCCCGCCGAACCCATCGCTCTCCATCTGGTGGCTGGCCAGGACCAATTTGAGAACTTGATGCAGTGCATGAGGGCCATGCAGGCCCAGATGCAGCAATTCCAGCAGCTCTAGTTTCAATAGCAGCAGGTGTTGCACCAAGTATCCCAATACCAGTACCAGCAGCAGTTCCCTTCACTCCCTCCCCGACCTCCGGCTGCACGGCCGACCAAGCCTCAACGCCCCGATGAATTTTCCCCCCTCCAGGGAGAGGTGTCGGCATCATCCCATGGAGGGAAGGAAAGACTCCCTACCCCCACCGCGTGACCCACGGTCAAGTCGAGGGCTTCCCAGCAGGTTAGGCCAGCGTCACCCCAGCACTCATAGTTCGAGCCTCCGCTCGCGGAGAGTGGGTTCGAGATGCCAGCCGATGGCCTGGAGCAAGGCCCTTCTGTCCGCGGCTACCGACAACCAGCCCTGCCCCACTCTGAGCCCATCGAGCTCATTAACACAAAGGCCAGCAGCACCAACACTAGGCCAACCAAGAAGCAGCGGAGACACCGCCGGGCTCGCCGAACTACCACCACCTGCGATCTGCCCGAGCCCAAGGGCAGGATAGAAATAAATTCGGGAGAAGTGAAAATTACACCGCTTCTCTCAATCCCCTCCCCCCTGTCTGCGGATCTCCTCGCAATCCCCATGCCAGGGACTTCAAGCTCCTGCCATTGGATAAGTTTGATGGGTCCTTTGACCCCAATGACCATGTCGACGCCTTCCAATCCTAGATGCACCTGGCCAGGGCAAGTGAATCTTGCATGTGCATGGCCTTCTCCACTACCTTCAAGGGAGTGGCCCGCACCTGGTACCGAAACCTATCGTCGAGCTCAATAAGGAGCAGGGCACAGTTCGCGAAGGTGATCACCTCCCACTTCGTCACCAGTAAGAGATGTCCGAGGACCCAAGAAAGCCTCCTCAACATAATCCAAAGGGATGGGGAGCCCATCCAGAACTACATCAAGTGGTTTAACGACGCTTGCCTACAGATACTCGACCTAGGCCCCGCAGTTTGGCTTACCGCGGCCAAACGAGGTATCACACACAAAGAGTTCAGATGGAATGTGGTCGTCAACCAACCCAAGACAGTGACCGAGTTCCTCGAGCTCGCGGATCAGTTCATAGGAACAGAGGAGGAGATTAACCCGAAAGGCGAGCATGCTCTCGAAAAGAGAAAAAGGGAACCGGAACCCCTGGCTCCTAGCCACCACATGAAAAGGAGGGATCAAGCTCGAGGGACACAACCAGCTCAACCTTTCCGAGCTCCGACAGCAGAAAGGGTGTTTACACCCTTCAACACGAAGCGGGCCGAGATCCTCATGGCGATCAAGGATGCCCCGTATGTAAAGTGGCCACCTCGGCTCAAGGCTGACCCCAATGTCAGGAACAAAAACTTGTATTGCAGTTTCCATAGAGACCACGGTCATAGCACTGAGAATTGTAATAACCTCCGCGACGAGATAGAAGAACTCATCCGTCGTGGATATTTAAGAAATTTTGTACAAAATGGAAGTAATAATAATAAAGCAGGTCGGCACGGGGAGCAGAGCAAAGACACCCCCAAGTCTAACAGACAGGCAGAGCAACCGTAGAGACAGCCCCCGGATGAGAGACCTGTCCGAGGGACCGTCCATGTAATTGTTGGAG